CTCTGATCTCACGGTTTCACTGCCGAACGGTAGTCCTGTCAAAAAGGACGACTGTACCAGGGCAGGTTTTTCCCTCAGATGAGGTTTTCCCTCCCTTTCAGCAAATGCGGTACAGGGGGTTGGGGGGTGGGAAGGGAACAAATCGTAAAAACCCGAAAGGGTATACGAGTGAAAGAAAAATTTTTTAGTTAATATGGAAAATATATAGTTATGCTTTAGCTATCTATGCACAATGCAATCAATCAAGTGAGACTATATACCGCTAAAAGATTGTGTTCTAAACTCGCCCGTTTTACAGCGGATAAACTTTTTACAGAGACTGTCGCGCGACAACCACCTTAATAGAAGCAGTATAACAATAATTATTCTAAATGCTCTAGGACAATAATTAAATTAATTGTTTTGTAGAATAGAGGATTCATACAATGATTGTCTCATTTTTTTATCGCTAGAAAATCCAGAGAATATCTTGAATGCTGAGGCCATCTATTCCCCGACATTAATTATTTAACAGAAGATTTCGTATTAATAAAAAATTCTTTAATTCTCAATTTTTAATATTTTTCTATATTTAAATAAACGTAAAAAATTTTGAATCGTTGCGCAGTTCCCGCTCTGACTCGGAAAATTCGCCCTCTACCGTAGAATTGGGAAATCTGTGAAATATGGGCGCGGGAGGTGTCTGAAGGAGTAGTCGCTTTTCTAACCAAAAAATTTTTTGATCTGTCAGTTTGTTGGTGATCGAACACAATTAATTTCCCGATGGAAAAATGAAGAAGGAACGCACCGCCGATAACTCTCGGCCCTTTAAATTATAAGTATCCAATAATTAATTGCATGTCCACTAATTAATATTTTCTATTCTTTGTTGACTAATGGTAGACTATTTCTTTTCTCTTTTTTGACTTACCAAACAACAAATGAATTGCCTTAAAAAATGGGAAACAACCACATTCTTTAATAATTGTTGATAATTCAACAATTATGAGCTAAATAGAATTTTTATAATCTTTCCACGCATCAATAATCCTCTGATATCAATTTCCCCATAGCACAATTGGAATTTATATCTATTTAATCTAGGAATTCTATAAAATAGTTAAACAAAAGCAAAGAATGACAACCAAAATAAAATATTTCGAATATACATGGAGAATAACTATATGGAAATAATCTTATCAATATATTTTTCAATTCCTGAACTTCACAGATTTCTATATGAAAAAATAATCCTCACTATTTATTTATTGATAATTTCATGAATTTTCTTCTAAAAAAACGGGTATTAAAATATTCTTTACCTCAGAAATAATCCAGTAAAAATCTAACAAACATATTGAATTCTCCACAGCCCACCAGATCGTCTCGCTGACAGGAATTTCATTCCAACGTAAAAGCATAATCGGTTTCGTGGAATTAACAATCGTTCCGCTACGAGATCGCCTCCTGAAGATCCGTCTGAACGCACGACAATGCCGAATCTACCGAGTGTCCCTGAACGACACCCTGGAGGCGCCATTCCAGTACTTCGATCCATTCCTGGATATCTGCCAGGGTGATGAGAAGCAGCGATCCCTGGATTTTTTCTCAACGATGCACCTGGCAGCAGCCCAGAAGGTCGACCCAGATAACAACTCCGGGGAGCTTCTGATAACGATGCCAGAAGGTGCTGACAGCCTCATCCAGATAAACCAGAAGCTGAGAATAGGAATTGAATTTTCCCTGGAGCAACCCCAGGGTGGTGTTCACTTTGTGGTACCCAATTGCGAGGGCACCCTAGCGGAAAGAGGAGCCCATATGTACACATACAGCTACGAGAATTCATCGAGACTCTGGTTCCCCTGCATTGACAGCTTCGCCGAGCCCTGCACCTGGAAGCTGGAGTTCACAGTAGACGAGACAATGACTGCAGTGTCCTGTGGAGACCTGGTGGAAGTGGTTTACACCCCAGACATGAGGAGAAAGACTTTTCACTATGTTCTGAATACTCCAGCCTGTGCCCCCAACATCGCCCTGGCAGTTGGACCCTTTGAGATATTCGTGGATCCCTACATGCATGAGGTGACGCACTTCTGTCTCCCCCAGCTGTTGCCCTCCCTCAAGGTCTCAGCGAAATACATGCATGAGGCCTTTGAATTCTACGAGGAAACATTGTCGAATCGATACCCATATTCCTGTTACAAACAGGTGTTTGTGGATGAGATTGATGAGGACATCAATGCCTACGCCACAATGTCCATTCTCAATACGAATTTACTCCATTCAACTGCGATAATCGATCAGGTTTACATAACGAAGAAAGCGATGGCTCAGGCTATAGCTGAACAATTCTTCGGGTGCTTCATTTCCATGCAGAACTGGTCTGACACTTGGCTGCCCAAGGGAATATCAACTTATCTCACTGGTCTCTACGCGAAAAAGTGCTTCGGCAATAATGAATATCGGCAGTGGATTCAGGCTGAACTCCAGGAAGTCGTTAAATACGAGGAGCAGTTCGGGGGAATTATTTTGGATTCTTCACAACCTCCTGCACCTCTTCCCATCGCTGCTAATACTCCAGCACCTGCTCCTCGCACGCCTGATCCGGGATTTTATTTTCCCATTCGGAATCTTCACACCATGTCCCCGAAGTACCTCGAGGTCCTCAGGAAGAAAGCGCATTTGGTCATCAGAATGCTGGAGCACAGAATTGGACAGGAACTGCTTCTCCAGGTTAGAGGTGTCATTAATCAAAGTTGTTATTAATTGAATGAGAGGGATTTATTCATAGATCATTTATTAATTTGCAATTAATTGAGAAAAAATGTTGGCATAACATTTAAAGAAATCACGGACCATAATATACACAACATTTTCAATATGACTTTTCAATATTCATAAATTCATAGAAACAATCATAGAAAAATTCATAGCAAATTTTCAATATCAAACATTCCAAATTATGAATCTCATAAATTTTTATTTCTTACACAATGTTAAATAATTTATCAATTTGAAATAAATTTATGTTAAAATAATTCAGAAATGCTGAGAGTGCAGAGTCAGGGGTAGAATTTCCAGAGTTCAAATAATGATGGTATTTAATGGCGTGCGGGAGTTTAGGAAAATGAGAAGTGGATGCACGAGGTTTAGGAGAAATTAAAAAAATGGGGTCGGCATCTTTTTTTCATGTTCTCAGCCAACAGTCATATCACGTTGAATACGCAAGTTCTCGTCCGATCACTTAAGCTAAGCAACGTTGAGCGTGGTTAGTACTTGGATGGGTGACCGCTTGGGAACACCACGTGCCGTTGGCCTCTTTCTTTTGTTTTTTTTTTATC